AATGCATGCCAAGGCTTAAAGCAGCAACAACGCTACACATAAAAACTGATGATGGTGGAAAAATACACCGAAACGTATTTTGACTGATAAATAGAAACAACAAATTACTTTTTTGCAGACAAAAATCCATGCCAAGGGTTAAAGCAGGGAGGGAGCGCACTTTACATTAAGAAATGATTTTGTTTCGTCAATGGCGTTTCTACTAACACGTGAATGGATGTTTTTCAGAATAAACTCTTTTCAAAGCCACTGCTTTTCCATGGGAAAAAATACGTTTGGAAGAGAATATTGAATTCTAAGATGTTTTAAAGCCGGTAGACTTTTCAATTATTTCCAACAATTTTTTAAATTTTTCAGTTTCGCTAAATGACTATCAGCTATTTTTAATTTTACTTGACAAAATTGAGTTGTTCGTGCAGAGAAATGTTTTCCGTTGGACTGAATGAAGAACCCAAAAGTGATTTTTATTCTATGGAAAAGTAGTGGCACACACTTTTCTTCATTATAAAACGAAGAAAACGTTTTAAAACATTATAAAACTTTGCAAAACGAAAGAAATTCCCAGCCGAGGAGAATCTAGTGAAGCTCCATCTTGCATCAATCGCATGTCTCTCCTTTAATGAAGTGTTTCACTAGGAAATTTTGGAGAAGAAATTTCAAATGTTGGCTTATTATTTCGGGAAAAAGTGCAAATGGTACGAGAAAAATTGTTGACTTCTCTCAGAGGCCCACACGTGGTTATTTTTCGCGTTAAATCTTTCACTGCGAGTAAACGCTCCTGATTGGTAACTACAGTACAAAATTGTGTTTAATTTTTTTTCTGCATTTTTGTTGAAATTGGGCAAAACTGAAACGGCCGGGAATATCCGGCTGTATCAAATTCTATTCAAGATGAAAATCAAACAGATATAATTTGCACTTTCGCAGAATTCTCCAAATGGTCGGCTGATTTATGCCTGCTGTAGCACTGGTAGCTGGATTTTTTAGACGTAATTTAGGTTTTATGCTCAACAGGAATCCGTTAAAGAGAAACGATTATATTTTCTTTATGAGATGCAACCTGCTAGTGCAAACTGATTTGTGTCCCAATTAGGTTTATTGATTCAATTTCTCGTAGAAACACACCGCAATATCGATATGGAACAAGGACACTTTATTTATGCAGGATTGGTTGCTCTTTAAGTGTTGAACAAAATTTGATAAGAGACGTACAGGGTGAAAAGTTAATAATCTCATTGTTGGCAAAATCGCTCCCAAAAATGTAGACACCCAATTTTTTCGCAAATATCCATTTTTGGATAAGGAATGTTTGCGTCACTAGCTACCCTTCGATGAACAATTTCTCCAGCCTCTAGATTTCCAATTCTCAACAAATCACCCTGTATATTCTGATTTTTTTTGGAGGTTTCTTTCGTTCTTAATATCATTTAGTTTCGGAAATGCAGTTAGTTGTTCACATATATTGCATAATCCTCTGCTCCGCTATCAACTGTATCGCGTTTATCGTTAAATCCAATTAGAAACTCTCCCAAGAATCAGCCTCCATCAGGTCCAGTCCAGCCAAATTCCGTCAAGCGCATAATAATGTCAAAATTGTAAAAGTCAAAACGATCGAAAAAATCTACTGTTTTATGATGCTGTTTATTGTTTAGACCGGTTTAATTCGCGACCATTGCGTGAATAAATATACAGCCTACAGCACTCAGCGCGACCCCTTAAATTATGCGCATTTCCCTCAATGTCTCGGCAAAGTAAGAAAAATTAATCTGGACCCTCCATAGATTCAAAGCCCGTTGCAATGGAGGTGTGCGATTGCCAAGTCTGCAAATGCTCGCCCTGCGCCGATCCTCAAAAGAAAACTGATGCTAGAGATCAAATAGCAGCAGCTGGAGTTGCAGATTGCGACTGCATAGACTGCAAGTGCGATCCTTGCGCTGATCCTAAAAAGCAAAAGTCCTCCCAAAATGCCCAGCAAGGAGAAAGCGCGGTATGAGTTGATGATTATCAATTTCAGAATTTTTCAGTCTTCAATTGGCACGCTTACAGGCGGGCAGAGGTGACGTGGAAGTCGGAAAACACGGAGAAAATTGCGATTGTCCAGAATGCATATGTCCTGGCGCCGATTCTAAAATGAAACCAGTGGCTTCCAAGGCGAGCAAATTCACAGATATGCCGGAGAAAATTCCCCATCCTCCGGACTGTGATTGCGACGAATGTTTGTGCCTGGAGGAAATCATCCAAACTGAATTAGTTGATAAGTTGGAAAAGGGCGTGCAGCCCGCACCAGTGGAGAAAGAAGTGCACGCTGTCAATTGTACTTGTATCGAATGTCTGTGTCCAGAATGTTCCACCGAAACTATACATGGTCCAAATTGCAAATGCATCGATTGTGTGTGTGATCCCTGCGACAAAAAAGGGGGCGACGGAAAAGTTGCTGCAGTTAAAAGCGCCGTCCAAAGGAGTGGAGAGGCGGGCGATCATCCAGCTGGCTGCACCTGCATTGTATGCAAATGCGATGTTTGCAACGATCCGACTAAAAAATCAGAAGTCAAAGTAACAATTGGCGATCAACCTCATGGCGACGATTGCAAATGTCTCGAGTGCGTCTGCAAAGAATGCTTAATCAAATTGGCTCCGCTCAAACATGAAGATGGTAAGTTTCACTTAAACTACTAATTTTGCCCAATTATGGGTCAGTAGTGTACGTCGAAACGAGGGAACTTTCTTCAAGTTGTATAGGAAATATTAGAACTGTTGACTCCCAATCACTTTACAGCGCAGTTTTTTATTAAATCGTCAATGTACTGCTCAATTCAAAATAATTAACAGATTTGGAAAACGCCATCTGAAATAGCAACTTATTTACATCTACACAGGCTAAGACTTCAGGCGTTATTCGGCAACATTTGTTGCTGACTCTAAAGAATCAATTGCGAGCATAAAACGCTAAGAAGCTTGGAAATCAACAATAAACCTAAATGATATCTAGAGGAATTTAAAGAAAAGGTGAAAACAGCATGAAACAAAATCATGAGCGTTTTTTCGACTGAACTTTCGAATCAAACCCCCTTATAGAACAGAACAATCACTTGCAACAACAGTTAAGTTCATCCATAAATTTGCAAAATGCCTTAAACTGATTAATGTGGTTAACAATAACAAAACAGATTAAT